GGGGGGGGGGGGGGGGAAGAGATATTTGAAGAAGAAATCCAACCAGATTTGATTTTTAGGACTTAGATGTGATTTTATTTATTTATTTGCGTGTATCCCACCTTTATTATTTTTATCAATAACTCAAGGTGCTGAAAATATGTAATATTCCTTCCTCCTCCTATTCCATGTCTGTTGCCAATCCAATATTCAGTTTTCTGCATCATAGTGTAAGATGAATAGTTTAATGATGGAAAAAATCCAGTTTAATTCAACAATGTTAATCTTAAGTTTAGAAAAGTAAACCTTAGGGAAGCATATTTTTGTTTTATGTGTATTGTGCTTCAGAATGCAAATAAAAAATCCAGTATGGGAACAAAAATGATACGGTGATCAGGATGATTTAGACATCTTTGGTCTTCTTTCTCTGGCCTCATACCAAGTAATATCTCCCATCACAATATTCCATTTCAGAGATAGTTTAGAGTAGAATATTTTCATAGCAATAAATTAAATAAGGTAATTTAAGCACTGTGCTTAAATTCTGCCTTCTAATAAATTTTTTCAAATTCTTTCTTAATTCCTAAATGGTAAACCAAGTAAAGTGTTTTCACTTATTTCAGAAAAGGCGTCAAGCTAGAGAAGACCTAATCCGTCCTTGCCCCCTTCCATTTTATTTATAAGAGTGTGCAGAAGGACCTTCATCTGGATCATGGCTCCCATTCAGAGAGGGGGGAAAACTGATATCTACTTCACTCTCTTGTTATTTTTCATAAGCTTCTTATTTTGTACTTGTTAGATTCAGAACATACTTTTTTCTATCCTCTTTCCAGTTTTTTCTTTGGAGCAGAAATTAAAACTGTAAGGATTTTTTAACTGCAAATATTTTGATGAAATCTAGCACTAGGAGCAAATTTATCACTGACTATATGGCTACATTCTCTAAGGTATCCTATTGTTTCAGACATTAATGCCAAGGCATAGAATATTTAGAATGACTGTTAAATTGATCTTCGGCATCAAAATATATGTGAATTAATGTTTGTCAGCCGTAATTTGTTGTTCTACTTGGTGGTGCTAATTAGCCTTTCATTAATACCTCATTTATATTTGGAAGTGTTATGTGCATGTCCTTGTCTTGGTTTACCTTGGATGTTAATATGGTATTTATACCAGTTTTACTGATAGATTGAACTCTTGACTGGCTCATCAGCTTTATGCATTTCTGCAACTGGATAGCTAATTTAGTATGCCTCAAACTATGGGCCATAAACTACTCAATATATCCTATTAAACTTCTATATTGAGCCTGAGCATAGGAAGTCTATAGATCAGCAAAGTTCAGATTTCATCAAATTAGAGGACTTCATTGCCCCATGAGAATTTCCTTTTCAATTATTATTTGACAGCGATGCCTTATGTAATATTTTTGGACAATGATTTTTAAAAAGGCAACTCATTCTTAAATAGTTGGACAATATTGGGTCAGTATATTATATTAGCTGGACAATAGTGGGTCAGTATATTATATTATTTATATCATTAGATAAAACGGGTTAATTCAACTAGGTTTTATTTGTAAAATGACCTCAAAAGCTTCACAAATATGCTTCAAAGAATTTGTGAAGCTTTCTAGGTCAATTTGCAAATAAAACTATTCTGAGAAAGAAGTATCACTGTTCTTCAATCATGTTGACTGATACTTTTGAAAAAAAAATCAGCTTTTAAAAAGGTTGCTTTCTGAAAGTTTTGAATCTGAAATGTTTCCTGCACTACCGTTGACAACACTGTCTGCTGTGGCATAATTCCTTTTCTTGTGTGCTGTCAGAAATCTGGTTTTCCAAGCACCATTTAAAAAAACTATTGGAAGTCTATGTAGATGGAAATAAATATGCAATTTTGTTCTAGAGGGGATAGGGGATAGCATGTACACTGCAAAAATGCATTGACTAAAAATGTCAAAGCCTTTGTTAGATTTTAATTCTCATTTTCATCCTGTTTTTCAAGGCAGTTTCATATAGTATTTCTTTCTCCAATTTTATCCCCACTGTCTCAATCCTCTGAGACAGGTTGGGCTGAAAGAGTAAGTTATTAGCCAAAAAGCATCTGATGAATTTCTCTACCTGAATATGAACTTAAAACTCTTTAGTCTTGGTCTAATACCTTAGCTATTACATACTGTGTATGGTATGTACTACATGTAAATGGAGTCTGAAACAAAATACTGCAGTGTGGAGAGCTAGCATCTATTCATCTTTTTTCCAGGATATTATATATTGTTTCCCCTCTGTGCATTTTTGTTCCCTCTCTTGTTCAGCAGTCAGCCAACATTATGGGGTCACTGAACACAGTTCTCACTATGTTCCTTTGGAGATCTATTTCTGTGTGTGTGTGTGTGTGTGTGTGTGTGTAATACTGATGTTCTCTTGAGTCTGCTGATCCCTATTTCTTGTGAGTGGATGGTACCATTTTAGAACAGGAGATTGATGCTGTGTCTATTTAGAAATTAGACATTTTCAATGGGATTTATTCTCTAGAATTTGTGCAACGTTTGAAGCCTAAATTATAGTTCATCAGATTGTTAAAGTCTACTGTAGTACATCACTGGGAACCTACATTAGCCATCTCTAGAGTTCATTATCTGGGGAGCAAAAGGAAACAAGAATCAGGCTCAATCTAATTTTGAGTAGCTTTCATATATTTTCTAAGAGGTTCTCCCATTGTTGGGAGATGTACATTATGAAGAATTACTGATGTTTATTCCATTGATATTCTTTACCATGATATCTATGATATAGGCTAGGTAAGAAGTGTTTATCCAAACATATATGTATAATGTTGATTGAGCATGCTCAGGTCAGGGTTCATGGAATTCTAATTGTTTACAGAAGGATTGTTACATCCAAGAAATCAAGGATAGAGGAAAGGGAATAGAAAGGAGTGACCATCTGCTCTGATGTCCCAAACATATTTCATGTATATAACTGCTATTTTTCAGATTCAGCAAAAGATTTAATTGAAACTTGTTGTGCTGCTGGACAACAATGGGCCATTGATAATAATGAATGTATGGAAATTCCAGTAAGCAGAACAGGTGGTGATATTTGCAGGTATGTAAAATAAAAGTGTTTTTTTTTAAAGTTGAGTTTACAAATATCCTGCACACTATAATATATTCAACTTTATGTTCTTTATGTCAGGTAGAAATATATTCCATAGATAATGCTACTGTCATACTGTATATATTGCTTAGATGATGATGATGATGATGGAGCTTTTCAGGCATTTTCTAATAAATGTGGATTTAATGTCAAGGAGATACTTAAAAGCTCCATTCTAGAATCTCAGATTCTCAAAATCTATTCACATCTATTATCATAACTCTGGAATAGATTGTGCATTATCAGACTGCCATGAATAATGTTTTTTCCAACGCAACCATCTGCATCCTTTACAAAACACTAGTTGTCATGCCAGGGCTGTTGTGAAGACACAGGATTCTTTTGGGCAAATTTTAAAAAGTGTCCCTGAAATGGAGAGAGTTCATGCTCCCTGTGCCACCTTGCTTGCAAACAATTTTCTCAGAGACAAGCTGAGGACTTTCTCCACTGGAGGTGGTAGACCACTTTTGTTGTTCTTCTTCTTTTATCCAAAACTCAACAACTCTCAGCTATGATGCCTTTTAATTGCATTTGTTTTAATATTTTGATTTTATGATCATTTTTATTTTAAGCCACCTAGAGTCATTTTTTGGTGGGATGGGCTGCTATAGAAATATGATAAGTAAGTAAATAATGAAAGTGCCACAGATTCTCTGTACTTTGCTGGTGCCCCCTCAATATGATGCTCTTATGCAAAGCTCAGTCTAAATAACTGAACATAGTGGCCCTCACCAGCATTGACAGGGCAAGCTACTGTATATACAGTAAATATAGTGCAAGCTCCACTCCCTTTGGCACTGAAGAAATCTGGTTGTCAACACTGCGACGATCTTGGCTGAAGCCATTTTTGCTTCATTTTCAGTTGCCGCAGTACTGAGAGGGGGGATGAGTGGTTTTAAGGTAGACTAAATAATTTGTCCCGTGGGAACCAAGGTCATAGCTGCCTGACTTTTGGTGGGCAGAGCCTTTTGTTAGAAAGCCCGCCAAAGTATTCTATTGGGGAACATGGATAATTACATAGTGCTGGGGTGGGAAATTACTGTTCTGATACTTTGTAGCCAATAAACATGTTCTTAAAGGAAATATCTTGCCTTAGAGTTCTGCTTATACTGGTCTCATCTATCGGACCATGACACTGGTATCAAAATGTCTGCAAGCAAAGAATCAAGCTCAGAGAGCACCAAGGAGTCCCCTGTTGTATATTCTGTTAACATCCATATGACTGTTTGCAGATTAAGAGTTCAGTTCCTTCATATATCTCTAAGTGTACTGCAGCTGCCAAAAAACCCAACATAGTTCTAAGCTGCATTAACAGAGGGATAGAATCAATATCATGTGAAGTGTTCCACTTTATTATTGCCTTGGTAAGGCCACACTTGGAATACTGCATCTAGTTTTGGTCACCATGATGTACAAAAAGATGTTGAGACTCTATAAAGAGTACAGAGAAGAGCAACAAAGATGATTAGGGGACTGGAGGCTAAAACATATAAGGAACGGTTGCTGGAATTGGGTATGTCTAGTTTAATGAAGAGAAGGACGAGGAAGGACATGATAGCAGTGTTCCAGTATCTCAGGGGCTGCCACAAAGAAAAGGGAGTCAAGCTATTCTCCAAAGCGCCTGAAGGCAGTACAAGAAGCAAAGGATGGAAACTAATCAAGGAGAGAAGCAACCTAGAACTAAGGAGAAATTTCCTGACAGTTAAAACAATTAATCAGTGGAACAGTCTGCCTCCAGAAGTTGTGAATACTCCAAAACTGGAAGTTTTTAAGAAGAGACTGGACAACCACTTGTCTGAAATGGTATAGGGTTTTTTGCCTGAGGAAGGGGTTGGACTAGATGAGCTCTAAGGTCCCTTTCAACTCTGTTATTCTATTCTAATAGTGAGTGCACTATTAAAGGTATATGAAGGAACAGAACTCTTGATCTAAAGCAGTAGAAGTATTCCAGTAAAGAAAAAGAAATCTAATTATTCTAGCTGTGAAGAAAAAAAAAACCAATCTAGCACAATGGGAAATTAAATTGTTGAAGTTCACATTTAAAATGCTCCCTGAATAAAAAGGTGTAGTATTTTAATGGATCTTTATTTTCATTTCATATCCCAGTGTCAGGCTGAATTCATGCTCATAAAATTCTATTAATTTCAAAACAACTCACTGTAACATAATTTCCAAAACATAGCTAATCTTTATATTGTGACTTTGCAAAAGAAAGTGTCTTGTGATAAAAAAAAAACATGGCATTCCGTACTGTGACAGAATGGAGAGAATAAATACCATCTGCCATTCTGTCGTGTGATCTTCCAACCATACAGACTATTTGTGATAACTTGAGATAGGAAAAGAGCTTGGGACACACACATACACAGTTTCAGGGGCTAATAATCTGGCAGGGAGCTAATGGTGTTGAGCTTTGAAGGGAAGAAGAAATAAAATGACTTGTGAATAAAGATGCCATTTGGCAGTCTTGGGTTGCTGAACAAATACAGAATTCAGGATGATTTTGGCATACAAATTGCTATGCAGGGAGGAAAATGAAAGGATATGGAACTATCTAGCTAGCTCAGATTTCCAGAGACAGAAAAACTTCAATTCAACCTAAAGAAGATCAAGGTTGTTGTAGCCATAGGAGATTGCTAGCAGGCAGGCTCTAGACATTTTGGCCCTAAGCAAAATCACTTTCTGGCGCCCTCTATGTTTTGGCTCATCTTCCAATTTTATTAGAAATTTTAAAGAGCCACTCTCTTGTTTCTTTTTTTCTTCGAGTTGAGCTTTATACTTATAATTTTCAGCCCCAGATATTTTCTTTTCTTTTCTGGGACATTTTCACCTTATTTACACAGCAAATAATTTTAATTACAACAGCATCTATTGTTGTCATTGTTGTTTGTCATTGTATTGATTCCTCTGTCAAGAATCCTGAACAAGTCAGGCCATGATTTTCAAACATCAAAAACATCTGTCAGGCTACCTCACTTCCTTTATGTGGACAATTTTGTGTGGAAAAACACCATCTAAAACGGAATCTCTGCTCAATTCTGTCCAAATGTACGCTATATACAGCCAAAGTATTGCAATGAAATATGGATTGGACAAATGTGTCACTCTTCCATCAAAAAGGGAAATATAGTAAAACTGGAAGAATTGAAACATCCTATGAAAATAACATCAAGAGTCTGGATGAAGATTTTATTCATTTATTTATCTATTAAGAAAATGTATATGGCTGCCAGTTCACTCATGGTGACTATGAGCAGCTTCCAAAGATAAAATTCCAGTAAAAAACTAATAAACCCCAGACCCCCTGGTTACAACAATAAAACCAGCCACTCTGGAGTCCTCAGGCCCAATGGCATGTCTTCAGGGCCTTGCAAAAGAGTGTCAACGTAGGGCTAATCTTCTTTCCTCAGATCATTACAAATATCTGGGCATTCTTCAAGATGACAACATCAAGCACACGGAAATAAAAAAACAGAATAGAAGTGAATACATCATGATAGTGAAGATCCTAAAGTTTAAACTCAGTGGGGAAAATACTCCTGGGAAATTCCAGTTATTAGATATAAAACTGGAATAGTGGACTTGGCTCAAGAAGAATGAAAAGTCCTGGATAGGAATACCAGAAAAATAATGATATTGAACCATGCCCTTTATCCATGTAGTAATGTTGACATCTACTTACCAAGGAAAATAGGTAAGTTGTAAGTACACCAAACAGCTGAAGAAGAAAAAAGGACATTGGAAGAATATCTGAAGGACAGTAAAGAAGATGCACTGAAGATAATACAATATAAAAGCTTACTGAATACCAGAGACCAAATTGGCCTATAACAAAGTGACATTGACCCATTTCAGTAGCTTGACCAGATGATATATGTCAAAAGCATGCTTGAATCAAAGCATTTTACTATAGGTCTTTTCTGTGGTAGTTCCACCTTCTGGAATATTGCTTCTCCAGTAATATGTGCATTCCCACTTTACTGAAATTCCAGAAAAAGGTTAAAGGTATTTTATTTCAATATTCTTTTGGTTCCAGCTGAATGTGGGCCTTACTTTGGTTTTATGGGTTTCCTCTTGCCTTTCTCTGTTTTTGTTTTTTTTTTGAAAGCTGGATGTATCTATCTGTTATTACACTTTTTTATTTTGATTTGGGTTTTGTTGTATATTGCTCAGAGTCCTTTGGAATGTGGGTAAGTTATATGAAATGTAAAATTAATTAATTTTAGGCCAACTTCCTGTAAATTGAGATAAGCTACTGAGAAAGTCTCTTCTCACATTTTTGTCAAATATACCTTCCTTCTTGGGACAGAGTTTTGATGATATAACTTGTTATTCAAATAGCCTTCTCTCAAGTCCTGTAAATTTTATATTCATAATCAGCAGTTTATACTGCATTCGACTGCTGCAAATTAACAGCCAGCAAAGCTGCTGAAACAGTACTATATCTGACACTTCTAGCTTCTAAAGATAGTTCCATACCATATAAATTATGTTGCAACAGGCCAAATTCAAGGAATGGATGCTTTTGTCCAGTGCGCTTCTTCACTGGAAGTGCAAACATAACTATCAAATCTCTGTTTTGTTTTAATGAATAGCCTTCTGGTGCTTGTCAAAAAAAGAGAGAAAATTTGGGTAACTTCTGCAAACAAGTTGAACCAAAATAATAGACCCCAGAAAAAATTTGGTCTCAAAATTCCATGTTGTTCAGTGACTTGGAAGACCAGATCAGCAAGCATGGCATTAAACAGAAATTTCACAGTACTATTTTCAGAATCCCCCTTCCTCAACAAGAGCCACTACAAAGTTTGCCTCCAAAAGGCATTCCAAGAAGCTTATTGAGAAGGTAAGTGTCTATGGAGATTTTCAGTCATCCAGGTCGTGCAGACCAGCTGTCTGCAAGGATTATAAATCCTGCCATTCCCCACTATCCAATCAGAGCTGAAGAAGTTTCTTGGATGAGAAGCGAAACATCTTAAAATAAAAACAAGAAAGTCCAGTTGTTTTGTGCAAAAAGCACCTTTGGGACTTATTGAGAAGGGTATCTTGATTGACAGGATTCCCTTGCAATTTTTACTCAGTTCTGGTATATATCAACTGAACTGGGAGTTCTGATTTATAGTCAGACTGAAAATGAATCTAGATAATCTGTTTTACTCAGAATTTTTTGAAATGTTGAAATCTTGTTTTTATCACAAAGTATACAGTTTTGCACTTTTGGATCAGATACTTTGAAACAGATTCAGAACTAAAAGATTCCAGCCAATTTAGCAATTACCTGATACATCTTTGTTGTTGTGGCAATATGTAGCCTTGGTCAAATCATGGTTAATATTTTAAGTTGACAAAGCCACAAAAGCTTTGGTTATGCAGATATTTTTGGATATGCAGCATTGTAATATGTAGTGGAACAACGTAGCTATGAGCAGAGTGCCTCTTTGAATTATTTGCACCACCTAAATAATAACATGCTGGATATGTTGCATTGCACCAAGTTTGTATGGCTTGTGTAGAAATAAGTAAATTAGTTATAAATGAATTAGCCCTAGCCAAGTATAAATATGAAGAAATAATAAAATTGGTTTTATTGACTAGAAATTGAGAAATGCAGTTTTGTCTCTTTTTTTTTATTCCATACTTCCTCTTTTTACAAATACAACTGTATATTGGGGGGGGGGGAGCAGATGCAATACTTTTATAGCAAAATTAGGTACCCATGATGAACTAAAGTCACAGCAGACAAATATGGTTTTGCGTAGTGATAAAGTATTTTTAACTTGAAATTTCCATTGTTTTAAAGGTTAAAAACTGCATTAAAAATTTGAACCGAACTATGGCATTCATGTTTGTGTTTTTCTCCTTTGTGTGCAACTTCATAATGAAATCATTTTCCCAAGGAATTTCCCTGAATTTAATAATTATATTCATGTACTTTTCTTGAATATAATGAATAAAATTGTGTTCAGACCAAATATAAGTCCTTGAATGTATCATTTTCTCTGTTCTTTTTTGTCTCTATGAACTTTATCATAAAATGTAAATGATACATGTTTGGGATATAGCTTAAGGAGATATAAGGAGGTATATCTGAAAAACTCAGTATTAGTCACGGTCACTCATGCCCTTGTCACTTCCCGCCTGGACTACTGCAATGCTCTCTACATGGGGCTCCCCTTGAGGAGCACCCGGAGGCTCCAGCTAGTTCAAAATGCGGCCGCGCGGGCGGTGTTGGGAGGGACTCGTCGCTCCCACGTCACGCTGCTTTTGCGCGAGCTGCATTGGCTGCCGGTAGCCTTCCGGGTGCGCTTCAAGGTGTTGACTATTATCTTTAAAGCGCTCCATGGCATCGGACCTGGCTATCTTCGAGACCGCCTCCTGCCACAGATTACCCCCCACCGACCTGTACGCTCTCACAGAGCGGGTCTCCTCAGGA